GGCCAGGCGGTTGCAAGGAGGAGCCTTCCCTTCGGAGCCTGCCTCGGTTGGGCACCGGAGGGAAGGGGACTCGGGAAACAGCCGGCCGGGACTCTCGCAGCGCCCGGAACCCGAAAGACCGGAGTGGGCAGGCAGGCGCGCCCGCGGGTGTGTGTGTATGTGTGTGTGTGCTCGCTAACGCGCGTCTTTTGCACTCCGTGGGGGGGGGGGGGCGCGGGCCGGCCGGCCTGCCTCCTTGCCTCTTCGCTGCTCGGCGGCTGACCGACTTGGCCACAGGTTGCAACAATGTCGGGGCTTTCTTCGACGGAAACAGGAGATTTCCCTTCCCCCCCCCTTTATGTTCGGTCAGTGGTTGTGGATTTGGGAAATCCCACCGTGTAGAGAAAGTCCGCTAGAGATAAAGAGAAGGACCTCAGACACGGGTGACAACCCCGCTTTGCCAGGAATAAAATAACTGTTGCTTGGGGGGGTCTCCAAGATATTTTATAGGGAAAGTTACTGTGTAACTCCTCTGATTTTCCTCTGATTCACTGCCTCTAATCTTGTGCACCTCACTTGGGGATAATACTCCATGCATCTGACCCAGTGGATCTTAAATAAATTATTTACTATCAGTTTTTAGTTTACATTTTTAAAAAAGCCTGGGTAGGTGGAAGGGGAGAATTGGCCTGCAGTTACTGGGGGTTGCTCAAGCCATGGTCTTCTCCTTGCAGACGCCTACTTAGCCATACTCTCTCCCCAATATATAAACTGTGCCTGTGTCTTTTCAGAGTAGGTACAGCAGGATGGGGAGCGTGCTTTGGATGCAGGGCAGATGATGCCATGGGTATGACCACATCATCTATTTTTTGTTTATTTGAAATATCCCTATTCCACCTTTATCCCAAAAAGGGCCCGAGGCTGCCAGGTCACAGAACCTTGAAGGAGTTTCCATCCAGGGTTGGGCTTTGTTCCCTCCTTGCTTTCCCTGTGCAGACTAAGCAAGGGTGTATACATAGGCCCAAGCACCGGCCACAGTTTTCTCCCAGGGGGGTGGGAGAACGTGGGGTGGGTAAAGCCAACTCCAGGACCCAAGGTCCAGCTGCGGGAATGCCCCTGAGTCTTGGCAGTTTAATCCACCCCATGCTCACGGAGAACCGAAGGCGGGCGAAATGGTCTGCGTATGTCTCCCCACAGTGAAGTTGGAGAGCACAGAAGAATTCCCCTGCACATTGGCTGATTGTTTTTCCTTGTTCAAGGGTGGTGAGGGTGGGGATTGCCCACTGTCATCTGTGGTTGGAAATACCAGGAATCCCACCCTCCCCCTTTCTCCACTTTGTGTGAGCTTGAGAGAGGAGCCCACAGGAGATGTCCCTCTGGAGAGGAAGGGAAGCAGTTTGGGGTGAAAGTCTGAAGGCCAGACTGGGACTCTTCTCAGTCCAGTTAGGCTTGTAGGATGGAGTTTCACTTCTTCTGGTTTAGGGGAACAGAATGAAGACCTCTAGCAAACAGAGAGTGGTCTGTTCAGTAAGAACAAGAAGTGGGCAGGCAATTAAAAGTTGCTGGTGACAGGGCAGAATACTGGTAAGAGGAAGGGAACCCTAGCTTTGCCTTAGTGATGGCAATGAAGATGGAGAGCTGCTTCTGATCTCCAGGGAGACTTGGCTCGTGGGGTCAGGAAGGAGACTCCTGCTGGAATTGTATCCACTGCCTTGCCAAAAAGGTTGGGTTGCTAGTGCTTGTCCAACCACATAGGATTTCAAATAGAATTCCTCATCCCAGTGATACAGTGCCTTGCAACTAGCTATGTTTGTGGCAACTTGTGGCCTAAGCAGATTAACATGGGTGCTCCTCTAAAATGTCGCATTACTGCTGCCTCTTTTCTGCTCCCCTGAGGGGTCAAGGGACCAGCAGGCTCTGCTGTTCTGTAGATGTTTGAAAGGATGGCACAGTGCTGTTGTGCCTTCACTATCATGCAGGCTGGGGCCTTGAAAAAGTAGGATTTTGTTCATGTGTCAGAAATGGGAAAAAGTTACTCTTTGGATTGAAACTCATGATTCCTAGTGGCTGTCCTGGCTGGGAGATTATTATTGGGAGTTCTAGTCCAAAAAAGTAACTTTTCCAAACTCTTGAATGTTGGTGAGGGTTTCCTATTATGAGGGGAGATAGGAGAGCACTTTTCAAATACTCGAAAGGCTGTCATACAGAGCAGGGGCAGGATCTGTTCTCAGTCAACCCAGAGTGCAGGACACACAACAGTGGGCTCAAGTTACAGGAAGCCAGATTTCGGTTGAATATTAAGAAAAACTTCCTAACTGGTTAGAGCAGTACGGCAATGGAACCATTTGCCTCAAGAGGTGTTGAGCGCTCCAACACTAGAAGCATTCAGGAGAAATTTAGATGGCCACCTGGCAGATATCTTTTGATTTGTATTCCTGCACTGAGCAGGCTTTATCGGTCTCTTCCAACGTCATGATTATGCTGAAGGATGTGATCATGGTATTATTTCTCTTTTTTTCCTTGCAGCTGTTTGCAATCTTTTGATTTGTATTCCTGCACTGAGCTTCATGATTATGCTGAAGGATGTGATCAAGGTATTATTTCTATTTTTCCTTGCAGCTGTTTGCGCTCATAGTTTTCTCGTGTATCATTGCTGAAGGCTACACCAACCCTCATGGTGTCGATCAACTTCACTGCATCTTTAACCACAACGAGGATGCCTGTCGTTATGGGATTGGCATTGGTGTGGTCGCCTTCTTGGCCTGCATATTCTTCTTCATGGTTGACATCTACTTCCCACAAATTAGCAATGCCACTGATCGCAAGTACCTCATTATGGCTGAGTTGGGCTTTTCAGGTATTTGTTACTTGGAGGTCTCACCTGAAACACCTGCCAAGGGAGGGCTGGGTTATGGCCATGTTCTGCTGCTTTTATTTTTTTCTTTTCCATCCCTTGGTAGAGATTGACAGGGTTCCCAAAGCATAGAGAAGCTACCCATTCTTGGTAAGGGTAGGGCTAGGGTATGAATGCAGTAGGTCCCACGGCTTGGAAAAAACAACAACATATAACACGCACAATATATGTATGAAAATATAGTAATTTAATTGTTTAGCATGTGGCAAAAAAGAACCACATATATGCAAAAATCATGCAAACAGTCAAACTACCAGCTTCCAGCCAAATCTTGTGGTTTCACACTTTGATTTAATGTAGACAGATTTTGTCAGATTCTGTAAACTGAAAAGCTCAAACAAGAGCTTAAAACCCCTTCTGGGGCATTTTAATAGTGGCTGTTATTTCTTTGGCTTCCATATATAGTGCAGAGGCCATAGGTCTAAAAGACCAGCAGCTCTTTTTATCCGTTTCACCACCCAAACTCCCAAAGTACAGAAGTAAAAAGTTAAAAAACACCACCACACCCAGCGATGATAGTGATTGATCTTTTCACTCAAAACACCAGTTTTCTCAATAGGTGAGTCTTTATACATTTTAGTTTTTACCAGTTCATGCTCAATTACTTTAAATAGGGAGGTGGGTTTTTTTTTGGGGGGGCTCTTGAGGGAGGAAAGGAAAGCCAAGGGATTTGGATGGATGGACGGATGTGGTTTGCTAAAGAGGGTGCACCATGGTCTGTGGAAAATCCAGCACTGGGGGGGGGACCGCCTCTGTGGTGTCCCCTTCCCTTGTTGATGCCCTAAGTACATGCTTATTTTGCTTAATGGTTAATCCGGGGTTGCCTGAGGAACAAAAAGACTATCTCAAGCTTGGGCTCAGATCTTCACTATTAATTCAGACATAGCCCACATATTATTTTGTGGCTGTTGCAGTGCGTCTCCCCTGTCCTTTGAAACACGGCGGTGGCCAGAGCACCCCTTTGCAGACAGCTGCTCATTATGGTGAAGGGATGCCACTGGTCTATGATCCCAGCTGAAGAAGATTGAGAACAGTAGCGTTTCTTGCCGCATCCTTTCCGGAGGTTGGTTTTGCAGGTGCCCCCGAAGTCCCATCAGTGGACGGCTGAGGGATTCGGGAGAACGGCGGCACAACCTAGGACTGTGACTCTCAACCCTTTGACTCTCCATAGTACATGGTGCCTCGCTAGACAATGATAATCCGTTCCACTGAAATCGCTGTTTAGCAATATCATCGTCTAGCGAAAAGCATTTCCCCATTGGAATGCATTGAAACCTGTTTAATGTGTTCCAATGGGGAAGAATCGTCGTTGTCTAGCGAAGATCGGCCATAGGAAAGCCGCTTTGTGAACCACCGATCAGCTGTTTAAATAGCTGTCTTGCGAAGCATAGGTCCCGAAAACACCCGTTTTGCAAGCACGGAGAGAGCTGTCAAAATCGTCGTCTAGCGAAAATCGGTTTGCGAAGCAGGGACCAAACATTGTCCAGCGAAATTCCCCCATAGGAATCACTGTTTTGCGAATCGCTATAGCGATCGCAACAAGTCAATGTCTAGCAAAAAAACTGTCATGCGAGGTAACTGTCTAGCGAGGCACCACTGTATCTTGGTTGGGCTACCTCTTCCATCATCACCCAACCAGCATGACCAGTGGTCAGGAATGATGGGAGGTTTTGGCTGAACCTCTCAAGGGACCCAAGCTGGGGAACATGCCTTGATGTTTGTTTCTGTTAATCTTGGGAAGACTCGCACTTGGCATGAAAGGAGCTCAAGAATAGGAGTTTTTGATACCCTAACAAGCCACCCACTATTTTCTTGTCTTGCTGAATAGTTGTTTTTCCCTGTTCAGCTCTTTGGACCTTCCTGTGGTTTATTGGGTTCTGTGTGCTGACAAACCAGTGGGTATCAACAGACCTCACGGATGTACATATTGGAGCAGATTCTGCCCGCGCTGCAATTGCATTCAGCTTCTTCTCCATTTTCTCGTGGGTGAGTGAGGATTTTTTTTCCTCTCACAAAAGTCCAGGATCACATCCAGTTTTGTATTCAGTTCAAGCCTAGAGGTCATGCAATCTACATGCAATGTGTTGTTTTTGCCTTGAGGACGTGGCTGTTCATTCATTCAATTTGTATCTCTCTCTCATTAGTATCACAGCACTGCTCTGGGCAGGTTATAACACATATAAGAGAAAAAAAGAGACACATTAAAAACAGCAACAATAACCCTAAAAAACCAGATGACACAAACTAATCTCCAGAGCAGATGGAGGAAAAGAGGGGAGAGAGAAGAGGAAAGAAAAAGAGGGGGGGGATGTGGTCAGCTGGGGTCAGTGTGGAAAGCCTTCCTCAAAAGCAATGTCTTTAATTGCTTCCTCAGTGTCAACGGGGAGGGGGCTAGGCAGAGCTCTTCCAGAAGCTGGTTCCATAAAGTTGGAGCCGCCACAAAGAAGGCCCTACCGCTTGCAAAGGATTTATGGGGCACTAAAACACTTTCAAGTGCAAAACAGTGGCATGATCCTCCTTAAAAACCCATTCTAGTGTCTGGGGCTGAGAATCCTGGTAACTCAGAGCAGCTTCAGGAGCAGCTGGTGTGAATCACTGGGCAACACATAGAAGAGGGCAGCTTTGCAGAAGCTAAATGTTTGTTACGTTTATATTCCACCTTTCATTCATTAAGCTCCAGGCAGTGTCTATGGCCCTCCTCCACTTTCTCTTCGTAACAATCTTGTGAAGCTGGTCAGGGGGAGAAGAGTGATTGGCCCGGGGTGACCCAGTTTCATGGCTCAATGGGGACTTAGATCTCCCCAAGTGCAACCCAACACTTACTGTAACTACAAGGTCATACTGCCTCTTTTCTAGGTGGATTCTCTTCCAGGCTAATAACTGTTTCTCTCTACAGGGGCTCCTGATTGCCTTTGCCCTTCAACGGTACCGCATGGGGGTACAGGACTTTGACCACAGCTACATAGACCCGGCTCCAGGTCCGACACCCCCCTATTCCAGCTACCCCAATGCCAGCCATGAAAGCTACCAGCAGCCCCCCTTCACTCACCCTGGGGAGGGCTCTGAGGGCTACCAGCCCCCACCTGTGTACTAAGACTACTGTTCAGAGCAAGGGTATAGCCACATAAGTGCAATGGATTCACTGCTTGGGTTGGGGGGAAACGCCTCTGTGAAGAGTCAGGGCGCCACGCTGTGTGTGTTGTGTGCATAATAGGTTCTGGGGTATTCCTACAATTCCTTCCCCTTTGCTGAAAATGCTTTCTTTCTCTCAGGGGGGTGGGAGGCTTTCTTGCTGGCCTTCAAATGACTTGAAAGATGTAACCACTGCTGAACCTATATAGAGGAACACTTTTCTGTTGAAAGAGTGGGCGAAGGCATCTCTCTTTGTTGTTGCAACCAACTCTCATAGATAGGAGCTGGAGCCTTTGCCCAACACAAGAGGGGGAAATGCCATTCTTTTCTACTGTCCGTGGCCCCAATGGGATCCCCTGCTCGTGCCAGTCAAGCATTTCTGCCTTTCTACTTGGTGCCATTACATCCGTGCCTTTCGCGAGCTCCTTGGTACTGTCCCAGCCCCTGGGTCGGGGGTCAGTTCCCACAGCTCCTACAGCGTTGCCTTTCTAGACTTGAGTAATACATTCGCAGTGCCTTCCTTACATGTGCTGTTGGGTAACTCCTGGATGCCAAAGCCCAAAGGTACTCCTAATTTCTAAGAATGTGTGTAGGAAGATTTGAACTTCCTTTGTGCATTACAGACAGATATGTGTGCCTTTCCGGATTATCGGTTTATTTCAGTCTTGATTGAGGAGGGAGGGTCCAGGCTCACCGAAGCCTGTACTGATTGCATCTCTTTCTCTTAAAGAGTCTAATAGGGAGTTGCAGATTGCTGAGGGAGGGCTGTGCTGTCTTCTCTACTGGGGTGGGGTGGGGTCTCACCTGTACCCGCTGACCTTCTCTGGATGCTTGCCAAACCTTTCAGAGGCAGCTGTGCTTTTTGCATCCTTCTCCCTTTTTGCAAGGGAGCTCTACAAGGTTGCTGCATTTTTTTTAACTGCACCGTAGGAAGCTGTACAATGATTCAAAGGTGTTTTAAGTTTGTTATTGTAGAAATAAAGCTGGTAACTCCCACTGCATTTAGTCTGTGCCAATTTTGTTATGCCTGTCCAACAATTTTACGTCACATGTGCAATATTCTGATCCACACAAGAGATTCCAGGTTTGGAATACGATGCAGACTGCAAAAAGCAGCAGGGTATGTTTTTGCTAGCAGAAGAAGCAAATGATATATACTTTTTTCTTACTATTTTTGCCTCCTGTTGTTTTTTTCTTATCCAAACCAGCACCCAGCTAGCCTGCTCTATATGTACAATTCTTTTGTGAAGAACAGAAGAGGTATATTTATTTGTTAGCCAAGTCCTAATAAGTGAAGCAAAAACAGATAAATGATGGACAACAAATATATATTAACTTATTTATTAAGACAGCCTTTCAATTAAAACTACCCTGTTCCTTTTAATAATCACTACAAAGATACCATGTTTTCATGCCATCCAGAGGAAATGGATGAGCAGTCAAACACCCCTAGAGCACATTTAAGTGCAAAAGCAAAAGGGTTCGCGGGACTGAATGCAGTAAACAGCTACTGTTCATCACACAAAGACAGCAGTAAGATCAATCTGTCAAAAGGTTGTATTAAATGTAGGTACCTAAGGGACATCTGTTATGTAAACAATAGACATGATTGATGCTACCGGGAAACCTGAATAAATTAAGGAAGTTAAAGACCTGCTGTGGAATACAGATTTCTAGAGCCAAATTAACACAGTGGTTAAGTATTGCTTGTTGCCCATTTCTAGATACATTGCAGCTGGTAAAATGCTTTGCCCTGTTTGGCCCTAGTGTCACCGCATATACCTTAACATCACAGAACTGGAGACATTGGCACTTGCACACACACATTACTCAATACTGAATCAGGGTGTGATACAGAACGGACCAAATCTAGCCAGCCAAGCTAAGAATCAATCTTCATTGTCTGCTGATGCTACAAGTCAGATGTGGGCTATGATGAGGGCGTGCACTGACTTAACAGGAAAAGATCCGAGTTTGGGGAGCAGACCGATTTGGTTTCACTATGAAACAGGCTTTCTTAGTAAGTGCAGCCCACTCCACACTGCTGTGACAGTTGAACTCTGAAGAAAACATCTCAGGGCAGGTTTATGCAAGAGGAAGCACCAATTCTGCAGTACAGTGACATTAGGAAATCTCCTCCCCCAAGAAACCAAGGCACCAATACATTGGTTTGTCATTTGTAGCATGGAACAGCTAAATCTCCTCTTTTACTGTCCTTCAACCTTGTATCAAAAGCCAATTTTGCCTCCTACGCTGCTATTGTCTTTTATAACACAAGTTTTAACATAGCCAGAAGGCTAAAACAGGTATACAGTTCCTTAATCAAGTCCACCTCGGAGATAGTCCTCTGTCGGCCTCACTCAGTTTGAGGAGCTCCACTGCATATTCTGACAAGCAGACAAGACCTTCCGGGAAGCAGTGATCTCCAGCTGGTTATTCCCCCTCGGTAGGTTCTCTTTGTTCTCTGTTGTTGCCGGTTGTGGTCGTTTCTTGAAGTAGCAGACGCGGCACACAGAATGGTATTTGTCGGCCCCTCCTATTACTTCTACCTGGTCAGACAAGAGAAGGGCTCCAAGTTACTTTCTAGGTCACCTGCCTCCCATTTATAGCAGCGACATCTGCGCTACATCAGGAAGAGAAACACTTTTAAGAAGCAAAGGTGAACACTGGCATCTTACCTCCTTCTCTGCTCCCAACCTCTTGGTATAAGACGCCTCACGATAGCACTCCATGCAGACAGCATTTAGTTTCACCACACTCTCCGCCAAGGGGACCAGTTGCAAGATGTTCCCAAAGGCCTGCAACAGAACAAGCAGAGGTATCACCGAGTTACGTTCAGACACATAGCAGCTGAAGATCCAACCCAGCATTTAGAAATGCTTACCTTCCTCTGAAAGGTCCCATCAAGGGCAGCCACGATGACCGTCTTCCCCGCATTGGCCATGGCCTCACAAAACTCAACGACGTCGGGAAACTAGATGGAAAAAGAGGTGGAATAAAGCTGCTGTTCTGCCACAAAATGAGTCATCCTGACCCACAGAACAGCCTGGCCAAATCTGCCCACTTCCCTGGTGTGCTGGACCGACCACCCTTCCTAAGTCAATGCAAGGGAGAAATACCGTGCGAGTTCCTAACAATTTCCATAGTTGCACTAAAACTTGTTTCAGCAAGCCCCACTAACTGGCTTGTGTGTTAAGATGTGTCCTTGCAGTGTGGGGGTGAGTGAGGCAGTTTAGGTCAGGGCTGGTGTTTAACATATGCCCAATGGCTATAAGAACCACCTCCCAGGCTGTTCTTGTCCTTCTGAAGCACCCATTGCTGTCAATTTTGTTGCATGCCACAATTAAACAAACATTTTCTCTGTAAATAAAGGTATGTATGCAGAGAGCAAGCACCTTAACAGAAATGTATCCCCAGAAGCACTAAGAAAGCACCATTATTCCAAATGCAGATTTGAAAAGCTGAAAGTGTTTCCTCACAACTTCCAGCTGTGGTCGGGAAGATACAGGGACAAGAAACAAGTCTCTGGACTCCATTAAAGTTACAGCCACCTGTTTTAATGTGTTTACACTAAAAAAATTGTGGGTTCAAAATGTCACTTTCCTTGTTCAGGATCAGACCTCCCTCCAATTCTACTTCCTATTCAACTCTTCATGAAATTACCTGCCGTACAGCCTCATCTGTTTGCAGTTCTACATAATGTTTAAGGAATGGCTGTGCCCACCACAGGCAATGGCTTTATGAATTAAAAACCCCTAAGACAGCCATTCTGTGAAAACATTTGTGAACCATCTCAGTACCCCCACATATGCTTTTACTCAGAATGCTACTATTTTACCATCACATCCTGAGGAGTATCACCCACATGACAACACTTCTTCTGAGAAAAGACACAAAGGTATCTGGTGCAATTTCCAGCCTTCTAGCGGAAAACTTCCAAACTGGTGCTTCCTAAGGTCAGTTCCTTTACTAAGCTGTCTTAGCCAATCCCTGTTCTCTCAAATTCTGCTTCTAAA